CGAGGCTCCTTCAAAGCCTTACGGGGCTTCTCTCATAACTTTAATACTGCATGTAAATTAGGGAGGTTTTCACTTAAGCCAAGGCAGCTAGTTAGTAGGAAATTCCAAAGTCCTTTGAGCAGCTGCTGGTTTAGCTGCAAGTGTAGTTTTTCGACAGCCTGACTGTAAATCTATTTTTTTAATCCCTTCCTGTTCCTCCCCTGCACAGGGATCCGTGCCGTGCTGAGCTAGGCTGTGTGCTGGTGGCACATTGCTGCTCAATCACGTGCTGGGACTGCACTTTTTTTATGTTGCATCTGTCCTTGAGTTCTAAAATAAATCTTTGGATTTGGTACTTCTGAAGTATGTGTCATGTCATGAAAACTGGCAGCACCAAAGTGAGAAGTCTGACTCAGGGAAAATCCCCCATCCAAATTCTGCCCATTTGTTTTCCCCTCTGCCTTTGGGATGATGACATTATTGTGCTGAATGTGGTATCACCTGATTTAAGTTTCACAGAGGACTCCCAGGCCTAGATTGACTACCAGGTTTTGTGACATGTCAGCAGTGCTACCATTCTGGCACTGAACTGTCTGGATATTTTATGCAAAGTCAGTCTCCCTTGTCCTGGTGTGGCTGTACACCCAGTAGACCCTCTTTCTTTCCCCTCCAATCTTCTCTGGTAGCAGGAGCAGAAGAACAGGCTGTTCCCAAGCCAGACATGGTTTCTGGACACATGCAGGCTGTATTCAGTGTGCACAAAGTGCCTCTGCTGCAGAGGGGAGTGCTGGCCAGAGCGCAGCCTTTGCAGGCTCCGTAACAAGAGCACTGGCTGCTCTCACTTGCACGGGCTGATCAGACTGTGTGTAGCCTCAGAGGCTGACCAAGAGCCACAATAAGCATTATTTGTTTTTTTTCTCTTTTGCTTTCCTCTGCCTGTGAAACATCTGTAGGTAATTAAATCCACATTTTAACAGCAAACAGACACTTATGGAATAACACGTGTACTGCATACAACCAGCTGCAGCTCCTTTAACAGCTGCTAAGTCCAGCACATGCCATTCCCTGTGACTTGCAGGCTGCCTGCAAACCTCTCCCTGCCACACGTGGCAAAGTCCCAGGGATCCTCTAGAGCCTGTGGGTGTGCATGCAGAGAGACTCTGCTCTCCTTCAGCTGCTCCTGGGACTGAGGCCCCATGCTAGCTCCTTGATAGCCTTCAAAATCTGTGCTAGCCCCACTGTCAGGATGCTCAAATGTATGTTCTCCTCAATTAGACTCGACCAAGCTCTTGGCTGCTTTTGCACCCATCTGAGGAATGCTGGCCTGTTCACTATCCCTCTCCTAGCACCTCCCCTCCCTGCTAAGCTGTATGCCTTTATTGCCATCAACCACAAACATGAGTTTGGTCTCACTAATTTTCTGGCGTGGATTCTCATATAGAGAAGTACACCAAGCACAGGTAAGTTCACACTTTGGTGATTCTATATTTAAACTTCATTTTTGCTAAAGCTGGAATCACCTTGGTAGAGATTTATCTGTGTGGCCTTCTCAATACTCCACCTTGAAACTGAGAGGATAGTGTAGATACCTAAGAACCAGAGACCTTTTTTGTTGAGTTTGTCTTCTCTGAGTCCTTTTAACATTGCTGAGTTTCTTTATCCTTTCTCCTGCCTTGTTGAGGAGTGTGTGCTCCCAGGAGCATTTTATACATATAAAGACCTGGGCTGGATTAGCTGTTGTGATATACTTCATTTAGCTGGCTTGTGCCACTGCAAAGCAGCTAGGTAGGTCCTATCCTAATGTATTCAAGGAAATGGTGACTCAGGCCGTGTTCCAAGGCTGTGTGAGAACTGCTGGGCAGGAAAATGGAAAAGGCCGAAGAAGGAACTGAAATCATGTGAATTGTGCTGGTTTTAGACTTGAGAAGTATGTGATTGATAGTGCTTGTAAACATGTTTCTATTGCAATCGGTTTCTAATGTGAAGTGACCTGATAGGCACAAGCTTGTCATAGGGAAATCAGAAAAAACTGCATGCGCAAGAGGAATCCACTAGATAGGAATACATCTCCAGAAATGTCTGCCAGCTGCTTCTCCAGGGCTGGCAAATCATGGCATGGGGAGAGGAAACCTGTAGTGAAACACATAGGGGATAGGACACTGTGTCACCATTGACCTGGCACTCGCAAGTGCCACGGTTGTGAGACTGCATTCAAGCAGCAATTATCTTCCTCACATTTGGTTCGTCAGAGACCAGCAACTGTGGCCTTGACTAGCAGTACAAACAATGTCTGGGCACACAGCAAATGTTGCAGGGCACTCTCTCTCCTCACTCACATGGCCAAAGTTCAAATCTGGGATGTTAACCTTTTATATTCATCAACTAACCAAAACATCACCAGTTCCTAGACTCATGGGACACAATCAAAGCCTTAGGAGAAAAAAGTTACGATACCTCATTATCTTGCTGACTTGAAGATGCAGTGGCAGGATGACAGCAGCAAGCTGCCCTATTCACCACTTCTGGTAAGAAAATGGGGACCTGTTTTTGGAAGTCTCCTGCCAAGAACTCCTTGGGTAGAAAATGGTAGTTCAGCGGTGTGCCTGTGCTTAAAATACTGAGGTTTTACAAGGAGGAAGAAAGAGCAGCTGAAGGAACATTCCTAGTGCTGCTGGGTTGTACACAAGCACTCATTTGCTTGTCTTTTAGCAGCAATGTGAAAGATCATGGGGCCAACCCAGGCTAGGCAGGACAAGGCAAGGGGCTCTCCCTGTGAGATGGCAATGCAGGTTGCTCAGTGAGCATCCAATATTAATTCCTGTCAATGCCTTTGAAAATTTGAAAGGTGTGAAGATGTTGTTTTATCTGGAGCTATTTTGGTATCTGACCCCAGTCTTGTACTAGTAAAGGAGTGTATACCTGCAAGTAAGTTTAACCTTTAACCCTTTGATTTTCCAGCTGGAGGATACCCCAAGCCTCCACGGTATGTGAAGCTGCTCAGGTGAAGCAAGAGCCTCCACAGAACAGTGAAAGTGTAGTTTTCCCTAGTCTATTATCCCTGAAACATGCAGCTGCCTTCAATTTGTGGTAAATTTGCTTTTCAGTCCCTCACTCAAGTCTTGAGGCAGTTAATACTGATAGGTACAGTGATCTCTTGGCGCTGAGGCAGCTGATAACTAGAGGAATGGGAATGTGCACATTACCCCTGTACACAGCACATGGTGCACAAGGCAGAAGAAATATAGCTGTCTCCCTTACCACAGCCAGCAGATCTGGCTGCAGCAGTAGTTTCTTGTCCTTCCTCTATTACTTCTTGGAAACGGCAATACCAAGTTACACTCAGAACGAAAAGCCTTTGACCTGCCAAAGAAGAATTACACTTCTGTGCCTGCCCTGCAGAGTCAGGAGGGCTGGCTTGTGTCTCTTGTCAACACCAGCACTCCAGAAGCAGTAAGAACTGGAAGCTGGGAAGAGAAAGCCATCGAATATCCTTTTCTCAAAGGAAACGTCAGTCAGTGTCTTCCAGTAGATCTAGCAGAGGCAAGTGGCTCCACAGCAAGATGATTAGAAAAAACCAAACAACAAAACAAAACCACAAAAACCCCCATTGGAACTACAGCAGCATTAACAGTTAAGGTTTTGGTTTTGTTTAAAAAAAATGATCACCATTAAAAAAAAAAAGACGTTAGTTTGAACTGTAAGTCGGTAATGAAAAAGACCAACACCAAAGTATATGAGACTGACTTTGCCAGTTTGTTTTATTACTGGGCACAGCACCGTACCTTTTCATATACATACAAGCCACAGTAATACAAACAGTCCCTAGCCTTTTTATAATTAAAAAACCACATGGTATCTGGGAGGAGCCAACTGTCCCATGGGTCAGCTTTCAAGAGCTATTTTGCTGCAGTTGCAGTAGCAGCAGTTTTCTCACAAAATACTATGGGTTTTCATGCTGTTGATATGTGAAGCTGAAAAGTCTGGGCTTGCAGCCGTGCCTCTGCTCAACATGATCAAGGCAGGCCTTTCAGCAGCTCACAGGGGTACAAAAGCATGCTCAGTCATGGTCCTTTGCAGTCAGATAAAAGTGTGCTTTTAGCCAGACACCCTCATATGGAACTAGAACACTCAAATGCTTCTACAGAAACCCACGTTGCCCTGAAGCATGAGAGGTTTACCCAATACAGGGCTAGTTAAAACACTGCTGCATCCTGACAGCTTTCCTGCAGGTGGCACAGGCTTCCCACATAGGCACTACCATTTCTTAGAGTCAATTAACTCTGTAGCAGCACAAGGTCAGTGAGGCTTGGAAAAATGCTTGTCATTAAAGCAAGCTTAGCTCCTCAGAAAAAGGCTTTAAAACTAGAAGGCACAAATGCAAGGCTGAATGTGGGCAGCATACCACGGTGGCATGTAAGCAGTTTAGATACCCCTCCTAAGGGGAAACATAACACATAATAAATACAGTATGACGTTTTAGAAAATAAGTGCATTACTGTGATCCTTCACAACATAGGGAAGTAGGATCCACAAGAGCCTGAAAAGGACTCTTCACTTAATATTGCACATAAGTCCTAAAATTTAGTGTCAGGTCATTGTATTGGAGGTGGGACATGGCAGGAAAAAAAAAAAGGGTTTTATTTGGTAGAACCTGCCAAAGTCTTCATCCCCACACAAACATCTTTTTGCCAATCTGAGGTAGAATTACATACATACTGCTGAAACCCAGTCAAGTCCTGCTCAACTAGTCTTCAAAAAAGAAAAAAAAAAAGAGGAAAAAGAAAAAGTGCACAGAATAGATGAGCCCCTTTCTTCTCTAAAGAAGTGAGTGCTTCAAGCTTGACTCCTGGAAGCAAGTCTTACAGAGCAAGTTCCAGTGAAGATCCCTGCTCTCCACCTGGAAAGCAGTGATGGCTATCATGATGCTACAGATGAGTGTAACAGGTATTATTTGCAAGTCCTATAGCAAGTGTGTTTTACGCTTCACTTCCTCCCTCCCCTACTACTCGCTAATACTCCCTTTATTCACTCAGTCCAGTATATTTTATCAGAGCACAGACTGTCCCCATTGCTCTCTCCCTTATGTCCCTTCTACTGGAACCCTGCAAAAAAATTTCCTAATTCAGCCCTTAGACTTCTGAGGGACAGTTGCAGTTTCTTCTAGAGACTCCTCTGTGTAGTATAGACATGGAAGGATGGAAATAAGAGCCTCTTCAATAGAGAAGAGATGTTTGTCCTCTGCTTGAGGACAAAAATAGCGCATAAAGTCTGCCAGTCTCAGCAAGTACTCAATGTTATGACCTGCACAACCACTTGAGACAATGATTTGAGCTGCAATGTCTTCTTCAGATGCTGGGCCAAGGTAAGAAGGGTTCTGGGGTGTTGCAATGTAAACAAGAGCCAGGATGGGTTCCTCTGCATCTTTCTCCTGAGGGTGGAACTTCACAAACTTGGTGTCATAGCCTCCCAGGACAGCTTCTCTCACATTGAGATACTGGAGCGATGCAGCAATTTGCTCCCCACGGACTTCATAGGCTACACCCCAAGTGCATGCCTAAAAGTGAAAGAGCAAGGTGGTTATGGGACGCTGTGGCTGCAGTGGAAGTTCACCGTCCACTAATGTTTCAAATCAAGCCTCCCTTACTTTGGGAGTCTCTGCACAACTGGCAGCAGGGCAGAGAAGGACAGCACCCCCCACA